ATCTATCTATCTATCTATCTATCTATCTATCTATCTATCTATCTATCTATCTATCTATCTATCATCTATCTATTTACTCTATGGGGTTGGACTCTTAAGGTCCCAACTTTGTTATTCTATTCCAATCCATTCCATTCCATTCCTCCCTCCCTCCCTCCCTCCCTCTCAGACAATTTGTGTTTTTGTAGATTAGGAAGGCGGGCGAGGTACACATAAACATACACATACAAATAATAGTAAACAAAAAAACACAATGAAACCCACGCTGAACAAAATAAGAGCTTGTTTGATTCCCCTCTTCTTTGGGTCAGCCCCACAAACGCTGGGACATTGCTATCACGTCCCCTGGTCCTGCTTTTCTCTAGAATAGCCAAACTCGAATCCTGCAACCGTTCATATGTGTTGGTTCCAGGCCTTTAATCATCTTAGTTGCTCTTCTCTGAACTTTTTCCAAAGTCTCAACCGCTTTTTTTGTAAACGGGGTGACCAAAACTGGATGTAGTATTCCAGTTTTGTGGCCTCGCTATGGATTTATAAAGCGGATCTAATACCGCGTGATTTTGATTCCATGCCTCTGTTTATACAACCAAGAATTATGTTAGCTTTTTTTGGCCGCCGCTTCACACGGCTGGCTCTCGTTAAAAGAGTCTAAGACCTTTTTCAGAAGGAAAATATTTGTCCTTCTTATTTTTATCCGGCAGAGAAATTCAGCCTAACAGGCATCTGTTTTCGGCCAGGTGTGTTATGCAGGGTTTAGTGTTAAAAAGCCAAGCTACAAGCACATCGCTGGGACGGGGAAAGAGAGAGAAAGCTTTCATCCATTCTTTGTGATGCTCGTAAGGCAGAAAAAGTAGCACGACGCCAATACCTTCAGGTCTCTCCTCTCCAGGTGCAAAAGCTCGGCCCCTCGGATGTCGTGGCTGACGAACGTTTCTTTGTATTCTCCCAAACTCAGCAGGTCCAACCAAGCAGCGACTTCATCCGGGCCCCATTTCTGAACTACCAAAGTTAAGAGCAAAACCCCCTTAATTTTTTCCCGCATGCTGGGCTGCACGACAAGCAAAGGGTTAGGCCGTAGAGAGGGCGAGAAACAGAGGAGAGAGCAAGGCGGTGATAGCGGAAGTGGGAGTCAAGTTCGGATGGGCAGCAGCTTCTGACATGCGGGTTAAAAGTAGGGGAAGCCCAGGAATATGAGGGCTGCCTGGATTTTAGCCATGCTCTTGGCTCCAGCTACGCCGTCAAGCTACTCGATGCCAACTCATTAGCTTGGCTAATTAGGGTTTGGGGGGGGGGGTCTCTGTACGTATTCCAGGAGGTGCAAATTGCAATAGATTGTTTTCAATTAAAGTGAATAGTTTGTAGGTTGAAATGAGGGGATCCTTGGTGCTAGCACTGATGATGTTACCTAGTTTGAATAATGAAGCTCAGAGAGCACCCCCACGGTCCTCTCCCCCTTCCTCCTCCTCTCTGCAAACCCCATTCCCTTCTAGCACTCATGATGTTACCTAGTTTGGGTAATGAAACATCTGCAAGAAAATCACCAAGCGCAGAGAGCACCAATAACCCCACAGTCTTCCTTCTCCTCTTCCTCCTCCTCCTCCTCCTCCCTCTCTACCTCTTCCTCTATTACCTAGTTTGGGTAATGAAACATCTGCAAAAAAACAACAACCCAAGCTCTGAGAACATCAAGGACCCATCAATATACCGATTGAAATGCAAACAGCTGCCACGTTTCATTCAAGCATTACTTCTTTCACCAGGTCAAATAAGGTAAAAAGTAAAGGCAAAGGTTCCCCTCGCATATATGTGCTAGTCGTTCCTGACTCTAGGGGGTGGTGCAAATCTCCGTTTCAAAGCCGAAGAGCCAGCGCTGTCCGAAGACGTCTCCGTGGTCACGTGGCCGGCATGACTTAATGCCAAAGATGCACGGAACGCTGTTCCCTTCCCACCAAAGGTGGTTCCTATTTTTCTACTTGCATTTTTTACGTGCTTTTGAACTGCTAGGATGGCAGAAGCTGGGACAAGTCACGGGAGCTCATTCCGTTATGCGGCGCTAGGGATTCGAACCGCCGAACTGCCGACATTTCTGATGGACGAGCTCAGCGTCTTAACCACTGAGCCACCGCATCCCATAGTCAAATAAACTTCGAATAAAGTTCTCTACATATCGTGTGGCCCATAGAGAAAGGATTTTAATACTGGAGGAGGCATGGAAAAGCAATCGGGTCTGTGCTTTATCAAAAGTTATCCCAGGATACCTCCAAGGAATTCCAAAGTCAATCATTTCAATTATATCCCTGCAATTAATTAAAAAATCTTCCCCTGGCATTGTTTTTTAGCACTTTGAAACTGAAATCCTGGTATGATGTTGTGTTAAAAAAAACAGGACTTATGTTTTTAGTGCCTAATGCAACCTGCAGCAATGAGAAAGTAATAAAAATAAATGTTCTGCGGAGCTTCAGTATCTAAAAAAGTGTTATTCTTTGTTTAGATAATAGTTTCTATGCTGAGCTTTCTGTAGAGGAAACCTTGAACAATGTAGAAATTAGTAGCATATTCTGGAGAAGAAGAACGCATTCACAGAGGGCATCAGTCAAGTTTTCTCTCTTGTGGCAGTTAGATAGTCCACTGTCAAAACACTTTGAGGACTTGGCTGAATTTGCTAGAGAAAACCAGTAACATAGCATATAGTGTCTTTAAAAGAAACTCAATGGCTTGCTAAAGCTTGAAGAACATCTACGAACTGTCAAGGGACTGCATCTTCTAGAGAAGACCAGTAAGATAGCACATAGTGTCTTTAAAAGAAACTCAATGGCTTGCTAATGCTTGAAGGACATCTAAGAACTGTCAAGGGACTGCATCTTCTAGAGAAGACCAGTAAGATAGCACATAGTGTCTTTAAAAGAAACTCAATGGCTTGCTAATGCTTGAAGAACATCTAAGAACTGTCAAGGGACTGCATCTTCTAGAGAAGACCAGTAAGATAGCACATAGTGTCTTTAAAAGAAACTCAATGGCTTGCTNCCAGATCCACTACCATGAAGGGCTTTGTAGGTGACAAGTAGCACCTTGAAGCGTACCCGGAGGTCAATCATCTCCAAGCCTTACTCCCGAGTTGTCCCTTCAGTCTTAACTGTTGTTGCCTTCTGGAAGCTGTGTGCATGCACACACTGGGAACAGGAGGAGCCTGTTCCTCTGCCTCACTGCTGTCCGACTCTGGAGGCTTTGGAGGCAGCACATAACTCCCAGATGGCCCTGGCCCCCTCGCTGCCTCTGATGCAGAGCCCTCATTAGAGCCTTCCCCATACTCCAGGACTGGCCCACGTTCCTCCCCAGCCTCCTCACTGTCTGACTCCATTGCCAGCTCTGCAGGCCACCGTCAGACCACAATAATAACCTTGTAGAGACAAAGAATTATTGCTTCGCTATCTCATTCCATTTGGCATCAGCTCCCCCCGTCCGCTTTTACTTCTATATGTTCTTAATCTTCAGGGCAGTGTGGATACAGAGAGCATGTTGTAATAGCACACAGCAAAACGTCGTTATGCTTCATTCACACATACTTACCAGAGGAACAAGAATCACTACAATTGATTTTTGAGTAATTAAAAAAGCAACTCAATTGTGCCACAGATGCCCATCACTCATCAGACAAATGTATTCCACATCACATTTTTACAGTGCTCAGACATGAATTATCCATTCTTGTTGAATAATAACTAGGACACAAAAACAATTTAAAGTTCTGTCTTTTCCCAAAATCTCTCTACAGAGATCTATGTTGATTTGGACTTCCCACTTGAGAGTTCAATTCCCCAAATGTTTCTCATCAACGTGTAAAAAATTAAAAACCAGTAAAGGATTCAAAATGCCACAGTCTGACAATTAAAACATTGCTGAAATTAAAAAAAAATCATTCAAACACATAAAACTACAGTAAACATTGCCAAGCATGATTTCAAAAGGCTTTAAAGTTTCCAGATTTGAAGCCGTGTCTTTTCTTCACCATTCCCTAAGAGACTTTCATAGGCCTTCTTCTGCAAATCAGAAATTTGCAATCCTATAATATTGCTCAGTAGCAGCCCCAAACAGCATGGTCAATGGGAGGGAATTCTAGGAATTTAGCGCTCTGCCATTTCAGTAAAATTTCATTCCTTGCCTCAATAGAAGCACTTTCATCATCGGGATCTAGGCACAGCTTTCAATTCCAACAGAGACCATTTTCCACATCATAGTTTGTAAAGCAAGTGCCTTTCAAAGAATTTAACCCTGAAAGCTTTTCGAGAAAACAAAAGAATTCCCAGATGCCACAGATTGAAGGACAATGTGAAAGGTGCTTGATCCAATGAAGCATTTTTGTAGCACGGGTCCCTTCAAAATTATGCTCAAGTGGTTGGGTGGTGTTTGCAATTTGCATTAAATTGGTACTGAAGATGGCAGTGGAAGAGGGTAAGTGGTGAAAATTGCCCCCCACTAACTGAAGGGTCTCAAGCCAAATGTTGCATAGATGAAATGTTGCATAGATGAAATGTTGCATAGATGAGCTGAGGTGGCGCAGTGGTTAGGGTGCAGTACTGCAGGCCACTTCAGCTGACTGTTATCTGCAGTTTAGCGGTTCTAATCTCACCGGTTCAATGTTGACTCAGCCTTCCATCCTTCCGAGGTGGGTGAAATGAGGACCCAGACTGTGGGGGCAATATGCTGACTCTGTAAACCACTCAGAGAGGGCTGAAAGCCCTATGAAGTGGTATATAAGTCTAACTGCTATTGCTATTGCTATTGCTATGTTCTCACTCTTTGGCAGAAACCTGGATTCAGTCCAGAGTAACCAGCAAGCAAAATGCTTAAGAGATCTAACATTAAGCTATTTGAATGGTGAAACAATTGGTAAGGTACTATGCAGATTACACTAGTGTATTATTTCATTGTGAAGGGTAAATCTAACTGCTAATGGCCTTTTCCAAATAATTACTTCAGCAATTTGTTTCAGGCTATTCAAACACATAGATCATTGTTGTGTTTGCTGAAACCACGGGCCTAAATTATAGCTATTACACTGCTTAAGTGATTTTGCTCTAATAAATGTGTTACTGTAACTGATCAGACACTTAGTAAAACAAAATTAAAAAAGGAAAAGGTCTCTTCCTAGTGTAGTCACTCAAGAGAGCTTCCAGAACTATCAATCAATTTTGGTTTACTTATTATCTCAATACTCTGATTTTTCTACTTTTAAAGCACCCATCCTGTTCCTTCTATTTTTTTCCTCAGAAGAAAAGATAGTTGAAAACATATAAGAGGCAGAGTAAGGGGGCAGTGAAAGATATTGAAATAAGAGCATCATACTTAAGAGTGAGAATTTTTTTCCCATACTAAGAGCAATCAATGTCATTTTCCTTGTAATGGTCCCTCAACACTCCCTTAGTCTGAAGATATGTCTATGAAAGATTTCTAGAGAGAAGAAAGGAGGGAAGGAAGGAGGGAATGTCGGAGAGAAGGAAGGGGGGAAGGAAGGAGGAAAGGAAGGGGGAAAGGAAGGAGAGAAGGAAGGAGGGAAGGAAGGAAGGAAGGAGGGAAGGAAGGAGGGAAGGAGAGAAGGAGAGAAGAAAGGGGGGAGGGAAGGGGGAAGGAAGGAGGGAAGGAAGGAGAGTAGGAGAGAAGGAGAGAAGAAGGAAGGGAGGGAAGGGGGAAGGAAGGAGGGAAGGAAGGAGAGTAGGAGAGAAGAAACGAGGGAAGGAAAGAGGGAGGGAGGGAAGAGGAAG